TCTATGCACGGCTTATAAATGAACCGGTTTGAAACGAACAGGAAAACAGGTATTGTATTATTTTGCTTTATGTGAAATTCTTGATTATATTCGAATTCAGAACTGCAGAAGGTTGTCATCCTTTGCTCGATATGTTGACTCAGTGGGAGTGACCTGTAGAATAATTATAGTAGTGATCTTTTTGCACGATTCTGATTGGTACGAATTCTTGTGCAAAAAATAAGTTGAGGTGTTTTGAATAGAAAGTATTGATAGTGATAATCTGAATATGGCACAATATAGATTATCATGAGAGTTTGGTGCATTCCATGGGAAGTGCTTTTTGAAGAATTATTTCAATAAACTGTATTCGATATTACTGGAGTTTTTTTCCCAACACCAAATCGTTATTTTTAAGACCTTGACACGAGTTTCGATCACCAAGTGATCATCTTCAAAGAGGAAGATTAAACTGAAAACTAACGCGAAGCTGAAAATAATTATGCTAAATAGATATCCCATACAGGTAAACCAACCTAACTTAATTTTACAATTTTGCCTTATCTATTATTTTACAATATATGTTTAACTGTTATAGTTGTATATAAAACAAATTTCAGCTATATAAAAATGAATTTCACTATATTGCCTATCTAAATTTATTTTTGCAATGTGTCCTTATGTAGTAATCAGTAACCCCAACATTATTTTAACAAGCTATATAGTATGCTCTTTGGTATAGGTCCGTCATCGATATTCATAATATTATTGTGTTTACTTATTTCTACACTCTCATAGGCATCTAGTTGCCTGTTGTTGTTAACTTGTCTGAATAATCTTAATGAACTGAAGTCTATGGAATGGTTTTGTTGCAAAATATAATGGGCGACTGCTGATTTTTCAGGTCTTCCATATTTTAAGTGTGCTATGTGTTCCTTATATCTTATTTTAATAGATATTTTTGTCTGTCTATAATATTTTGCATCGCAGTCCTTACATTCAATTTCGTAAATTCCAGACTTTTCCGAATTTTCGACTTTGTCTTTTGGACTGTCATACACAAGTCATACACTACAGATCCTTTTGAGAAAAACTTTTATTTTAACACCTCGACACGACAAAATTACACTTTCAATCTTTCTTATGAAGATGATCACTTGGTGATCGAAACACATTTCTAGGTGTTATAATAACGGTTTGGTGTTGGGATAAAACTACAGTAATATTCAATCTGCATTCAGTCATTGAAAATACTGAAGAATAAACTCCATTCAGTACTTGTGAAGAAATAAGCTGAACATATTTTATAGATCTTCACATCAAAGAATCCAACTGCCAAACGGAATTTTTTATGTAAGGTATTCTCTGTGGAATTTAGAGTGTTGAGGAAAACAGAATACAGTCATCAGATGGAGTACCTACTATACAAGTGACAACTTTGGGCGGGAGAATTTTAGCAAATTTGATGAATATTCCATTATAGAAATTCTACTTTCAATATGCTACTTCATGCAGTCAGTATTAGCTTCCTCATACCGAAATGTATTGTATTGTTCTGTGAACTTGTTTTTATGGAAAATCTATACTGAATTGTATTTCAAAAGACTGATTCGTACAGAATTCACGATTCTTATTATACCGAGTGACAACGAAATCATTGTTCACGACGACAATCAATCATTTATGAGTTAAGAAATTTGGAATTCGGAATGAAGGTATACTCGTAGTTAATCGAAGCCAATATTTTGAATCATATATCATTTGAAAATCTTCACAGGGTTAACAATGGGTTTAAAGCCGAATTAATAAAGAAAATACTTGCCAAGAAACTCTACGCAAAGGCGATTCGAGACGTTTTTTCTATTGATAAGGTAGATAAAAAAATTATAGAACTTTAACGTATTTTGGCAACTAACGGAAAAATTGGCTTCATTTTTGAGGAAAAGAGATATTTAAATTGCATATAGAACAAATAATACGTTGGGAAAGTTAGTTAAAAATAATAAAGTCAAAACATCCAAATTCGAGAAATCAGGAGTATATAATTTAAAGTGTGGAACATGCCCTAAGGTGTATATTGGTCAAACTGGCAGGACATTTAGGAATAGAATCCAGGAACATCATACGACCTATGTAAATAAGCAAACAAATTCAACATATTGAAATCATCTCCTAGAAGAAAATCAAATCTTCAACGAAGAGTTCAAAATTCTGCACATTGAAAATAAAGGTTTGAAACTGAATCATTTGGAAGCAATGGAAATTAATAAACTTAAAAATTCAATTAGATTTGAATAGATCACCATTATTGAACTTGTTTTCTTAAAAACCGAGAAAGAATTATTATTGATTTAGATGTGAGGTAATATGCTTCAAATAATCATAATTGAACATGTACGTTAAGTTCAGGTAATTTTTTGGAGGTAGTCTCAATTATGGTTACCTGTAGTATATACATATTAATGTAAGAAGAAGTATAAATCACTTGAAAAAGCTAATGTCTTTGCGAAACATGTTCTGATATATATTTTTCAACTAAAGTTTGTGGAGATCAAATCGTGAGGTGTAGTTTTTAAATTTACAGGGTTGACTGGAAATCAACCCATTCGATCGGATATGAAATTCTTTTGTCCACGATATGACACATGTTGTCATGGCGACGTAGGAGTCATTAAAAAAATTATATGACTGCACTATGACGTCATCTATCGAAATATTGTCATACAACTCGATGTAGGAAAGAACTAACGACGAATTTTACTCAGTTTTAGAATGAAAGTTGGAAAAGTGGAATTTTTCAGTATTTCAAGTACTTTTTCCAGATTTTCAAATGCCACTTATTTCGAAAGTTTCGACGATGTTGTTGACATCGAAGTGTACCTCTTTCACTACAGAAAAATGTCGAAGATACTATGTCGTTTATATTTCTGTGCAAGTGAAAATGACAAAGCTACTCTATCATCGTGAGTTAATAACTAACCATTCACTTTTTCACTGACACAGGAAAATGGGCAGCATGTGTCTTCGAAATTTGTTTGTAGTAAAGAGGTACGCTTCGATGTAAACATTAACAAATATCACTTCTCCTCAAGATTCTCAAGATACATGAAATAAAAAATGGTATTTGAAAAAGTTGGAAAATGCAAGTGGATAGGTAAGTGAAGAATTATACTTTTTCAACTTTCATTCAAAAACTTCGTCGTTTGTTTCGTCCTACATCGAATTGTTTGCATTGAAGAGATAATTTTATATCCGATCGAATGGTCAGAAAAAAAAGCATAGAACAATTGGAAATTTATACCCTGTATAGATTTTCAAATGTTTTATCAATTAATAGCGCCGCGTATAGTGATTTCGTTGTCACTATGGTAATGTATAATTATATGAACTTTGAATGGTTGATGAAAACTCAGAAGATAATGAAGAAATCATTATAGATTTTTGATGAATTGAATAAATAATATTCTCTCAATAATTACAATTTAATATATTGCATGACTGAAAATATTGAACTTGTTTATGTGAAAAAATCCAGAGTAAATTTCACTATTCTTGTCATATGAGTATAGCAAAAATAATTTTCAATTGAATTGAAAAACAATGATTTTATAAAATTCTATAGATCTGGAAAAGTTAATAAAATGAGGTTATGAAGAAATCAGCATCAACCCTTCAATTACTTGATGAATGAAACAAATGGCTGTTTTCAATGACTCAGGTTTCATGGATTTTTGAAAGGCAAAAAATAAATGTTAACTGGGCATCATTCTGCAAAAGCAGAATGCAAAACTGTTAATAAGTACTGAGTTACGGAGGGAATGTGACATCTACATTACAGTAAAAACTGCTTTGGAGATATAGTGTATGCCCATGTTTCTCATGAATATATTTTTAGATGTGAATGAATGAATTTGTGCAAGCAAGCGTGCTTGGATTTTTAATTACTATGTCACACTATCTTGGAGACGGCATAATGACCGAAACACTGTTATAAAAATAATAATTCCTGACAAGTCACCATGACTAAACCTACGCTTCACTACAGTATAATTTACACCTTAAGTGGTTATTGTACTAATTCGATTTTATATTAATATTCTGTAAAGGCCGAAGAAACATTGTTCATTTCCACTGTCATGAACGCTAAGAGACTGGCGAATACTAAAAGGTTTTCGTCTTCATTTTCACGTCTACAAGTCATTAGATCTATTTTTTTTTGTTTTTGCTGTAGAGTCGAGGATTGTACAATTGCCGTAGATATTAAGAATCGTTGAGAACTTGAATAGCTATGTTAATAGCGATTTAGCTGACACGCGTAGTTTGATTTATTTGGTGGTAAATCATATGTTGATGGTACGAATGTTGATTTTGCTATAATGGTACTTCTATTTGGTATTTTCAATATTTTATTTTTAAAAATTGGTAAGAAAACAATTACCCCTTATTGTATCTTTTCCAGGTTTTTGAATTTAATTCCGAAAGTGATTAACAGAATTTCAGATAGCTAGAAAGAAACCTATCTGGAGGAGATCATCTTACTGACTATACTCTTAGTGGATTAAAAATTAGAAAAACAATTTGTTGATACTCTATTAAGTCGATACACTTAATAGGGCTGTGAAGCCTGATAATCAAATTTAGAACGTCGCCAAAATTCTTTTTTTAAAAGAATTTATTGATCCGTGCATCAACCAAAATCACTGTTCATGATATCAATCTAATCATTTTGAATAAACATTCCTAATCTTCAACATTTATTATCGTTTTGATAGTGATGGAATTTGCCGATATTTGATGAAAATTTATAGCTCGTTCTAGTATCACTACATTGTGAGATTTTCACTGGACAGTTTACAAAACCGTAACGCGTGTTTCGATATACAATAGCTTCCTCAAGCGTTTGTGGCAGCCATTGCTCATATGAAAAATCAGTGGGGAAACAAGTTACCACTGAAATGTGATGTAGACATACAGCAGGTGGTATTTTGGATTTACAATCGAATTTTTTTTAGAAAACTCACCGTCTCATTCAGCCATAATATCCAAACGACTAGCGGAAGAATGATCTTCATTTTTGCTGAAAAAAAAAACAACCGTTAATAATTCAAATAAAAAACGCATTCATATAAATATATACACTTATATCACTATTCAGATGAAACTGGTTTGAAAAGTAATTTATCGTTACGATGATGTCATTTCAAAATATTCCCAGACTACTCGTTAGATATCCAGTTTTGTCTTAACAAAGAAATTAAATAATTACATCAAGTGAAATCTGATTAGTGGCTTCTTTGTTTTTCATGCAGAGACTGTTTTCACAGAAAAAAGAATTTTGAAGTCTTTGGACAAAAACTCTTCGTAATAATAATATCACTTATGACTGAAAAGAAGTTAGAAATTGAACTGTCTTGAAGAAGAAGTTGTCTTTTGAACCAGTTTGGTTTTATTACACTGTTTTAAGATCACAGTTTAATTCTTTCAAGTCAATTTCCTTTTACTTCATATTTTTGTGACCATCAACTAATAAATAAGAGAAAGAGGCAAAGTTCATGTCACTTGCAGACGAGACCTCCACTGAAATCTTTTTCCACTTGTCTCCAAAATTGTTCCATGAATTAATGTTTCTAGATTATATAGAAAAACGAACAACGAAAAAAGAAAGAAGTTAAGATTAGTCGAAAAGATATTTCTTGTATTTTAATTTGAATTTTGTTAACGATAGATATTAAAGTTCCAGAGGTAATAAGTTGTATATGTTGCATAATTGATCTGAAAAACTCAGTTTTAAACTTTGGTGGCATTAGCGAACCTCTGTATCCTACATTTACATTATGAATATCAGAGCGAAATGTGATTTTACGACGTAAATAGGGAGGTTTTTTGGTAATTATAATTTTGTGGAACAACCAAGCATATTCAACCACCCAGCAGTAATTACTTTATATAAAATTATTTTGCGTCTAGGAACACCATATATTCAGATAAGCTGAAAAGTTCGTAGTGGATGACGCTATTAGTATTAAATCGATATGATTTTAATCAACCCTAACCTTCAAAAGACACATAATCAAATTTCACAGCTTTCGGACTAATATTTGTTAGTTTGAAAAAAATGGATGGAAATTTCGTGTGTTAATAAAGCATTGCTTTTTGGCGAAAAAATACTGTTGCAACCAAGGCTTGGCTTGGTAAACATTATTCGAACTTCACCCAGAAAACTCAACCGTTAAGAAGTGATTTGCCAAGTTGAAATGAGATGAAACACACGCAGTGGATGCCCCAAAGAGGCTGTTACTGACGAAAAGATAAATGAAGTCCAGCCGAGCGGGCTCACAATCGACCAAAATCAGCAATAATAGGGGAGCCCAAGCAGGAATTTTGAGATTTACTAAAAAGCGAATCCCTCTAGATAATCGTCAGATTATGAGACAGCACGTCTAAAACATATATATCTTTATATATCTTTATCTGACCAGCTTGAGTATTTCAAAATGACGAATTTTTTTGCAGATTATAATAATGGCCGCGAGTTTGCGTTAGAATGAAATCGTTAGATTATTGAATGAGAGCTTTTTTGTTGCACTCAACACCTTCTTAGAAAATCTGACGCGCTCGATTAATTTTTTTTCACTTTCAACCCTTACGTACGACTACCCACATCATGCAAACGATCAGATTAACATACCAACATTATTAAAGATACGTAGGACATTGATGCTATCAATATCTGACGCGCTCGAGTATGCCAATGCAACAGTATTTTTTTACATATTTAAAAATCTATAGCCGCTTCCCCCACCGATGAGAAGGTATATATTATATAACATGTTTTTCTTCCTATCATCTAAGCTTTGCAACTTGATATGTCTCAATGACGCTCGAGTAAATCCCCATTCTGCATCATGGGCTCCCCTGCTACAACGAATTGAAAATTCTGGGCAGTGTAGGGCTCCATCATCTCACATCAGAATCAAAACTATCGTCATCTGAATGGACTGTACGTGGTGATTCAACTTCAAAGCGTGCAAAGACGCAACAGTTGGTACAATATTTATCGATTATCAACTATTACATAGCGTTATTGGAGAGTTTGAATGACGAAATCGCGTTAAACCGGCCCATTTGAAGAAAGAGATAGTGATATTCTATCAAGACATTGCACCGTTTCACAAACCGATGAAAACGATGGCAACATTGCATTAATTGGGCTTCTCATCCACCGTATTCTTCAGATCTGGCCCAGCGACCTTTTCCTGTTCTCAGACCTTAAGATAATGCTCGCTGGAAAGAAATTTAGCACCGATGAAGAGGTAATCGTAAACGCAGTCGTCAAAATTAAAAATAGACAATACTAATAAAGAAATAATATTATACTCGTCGTTACCCATATCAAGGTTTTATGTATGTTCTACAAGAGCTAATTGGTCACTAGTAATAATAATGTTGATATCTTGAGAAAAAGTTTAATTGTTCTTTGGACCAAATAACATTATGTTAGATTTACTAGAATTTTCAGGTGTGTAAAATTTCCGCTCGAAACGAAATTATTGTGCCCAATCTAGTTATTGATACATACAAGTTAATGTGTATTTGACTGAATACATACTGAAAATTTGAAAAACCATTTCTCTGAAGTAGGTACATTTGATATTTGCACGGAGAAGACCCATAGGTAGAGAAAAAAAATATGTGGTATGTAAAAAGTAGTAGGTTTTTTACGATTCTGATTTATTCGGTAGGAAAAAAAAGTCCGATATCTCCAGATGAAATCATGGTAATGTTTTGAAAATAATTCATGTAAATATTCACTAGAATCCATGATAAAAAATTACGAGCATGAAGATAAAAGTGATTGATCGAAATAGGAAATCATTTTGTTTTTGTCTTGAATACTTAAGGCTCCTCAAGGAAATGTTCAGTTATAGACGATTTTAGTATTAATTGTTTAAGAAGTTAAATAATAATTGCTGAATATAAGATATTATAACGGTATTTTGGAAGAAGTGAAGATCATGAATAGCAAAAAATGTATAATGAAAATTTTGTTATCATTATGTACTACCATTATTACGATAAAACACTTTCTCCCTGTGCTACTCATAATTTTTTATCGGTCAGTTTCACAACGGGAACGTTAAAATACTGTTAAGAATCAGATCACAGTGTAAGTGTTGAAGATAATAATTATTGTATTTTGTATGCACGAAAATATATCATTATCTCATTTGAGTCTGGTGAAAGTACAAATGAAAATATCATGAAAAGATCGGAATGCATTCAATATTTTTTAAAGATTAGGTATCAAATGAACGTATTGAGGTTATTTCAATCAGTTTTATCTGTTCGATACTTTCGCAGGTTTATTTCTGAAATAATTGCAGATCTCTGTGACCTTTTGTGTGTACCTCACTTAATACATATTTGAATTTCTTCAAACTGATCATTGAATCATGAACAATACAATCTTTTTATTAATTGTAGTTTGCTTCGGTTAACGAATGCACTGGTTATTCAACATCGCCAGATTTAGAATTATTAATTTTTCGAACATGTAGCGATGGCTGAAATTGATATTGAAATGTGAAAGGCAGCAACGTGAATAATATCGACGATCGTGCTCGTTTTGCTTAGCAGAGAGCCTTACGTCATTGAGAAGCATTCACAAATTACTTCAATTTATGATGTATAAAAATTATATAAATATCATCACTTAATGGACTGAAAAATGCAGTAAAACTGCATGGTACAACATTCAAATACGGTCATAAAAGTAAATTTAGATATAAACATGAAATGTTGATGTTGAAATGAATATAAAATCAACTGATTTGTAGTGAAATTATCTTGAAACATCAGGTTATGCGGGCAAAGTCAAAAGCAATTCATGAAGAGGTTACCACATCTAACATATATAGCAACCCAGCAGTTATTGCTGTTAGTACTTGCTGCCAGAGATCTATTTAACAACCAGAAAGTTCAAGGTTTAACAACCAGAAAGTTCAAGGGGTCTAGTGTCGTAAAGTGGCGCTGCAAAACTCAGGAGTTATCGTCACTTCAAAATTTTTTCGATACAATACCTACAAAATTATCAAATTGAAACGGAAAAACCAGGGATGAAAAAATTATTTCTTCATCATTAGAGTGATGCGATAGCGATTCTAGTGAAGAGTACTTGGGAAAAAGAGGTTCAATTGGTGGGAATCCAAAACTACGTTCAATAAAGTGAAGGCGATGTCATCACCCCTTACGAAGACGCCTTCACTGTTTCGACCCTCCAAGTTCTTCTCAGTGGTGCTAGGTTGAACCATGAATTTATTGCTGGACTCAACTCTCTTTTACGGACAAGAAAGTCATCTTATCTTACAGAGAGGTCATCCATGGGATTGACAGAAGACAGGAATACCAAAAATGAACGAACTCCCCAATGACAGTTGAGTCGAGCAATGCATTCGTGGCTTAGCCTAGCACCACCGATGAGACCTTGGAGTCTCGAATTAGCACCATCTGGTGTTTTCAGGTCGGTCGCGGAGCTATCAATGAGTAGGAAGGTGTATCCTTGATTATTCTAGAATGCTGGAAAATGGTTAAGGAGTTTCTGATTCTATTACTACATACAGGGTGGGGCACCGAAAACGAAACAGATCGAATATCTTCAAAACACATGTTCTGAAAAAAATGCAAAAACACGTCGATTTTTAATCCAAGGGGGACATCTTCCTATCATAACCTCAACTGTCATACCTCTTCCCCCACCCCTCGGTGACTATCACCCAAACAATTTGAATAGGGAAAGTAGTAACAGTGATATATCATTAAAAAAGTAATTTCATAAGGAATTCAGCCATGTCAATTTTAGCTACGTAACTTTCGATTTTGGCGCCTTCTTGCGGGAAAAAACTGTTCCGTAAACCAAATTATAATACTTAATTCGCAAGATAATTTGACATAAATTCTGTGACAATGCATTATGGAGTTTCCCTAGGGAAAAAAACAAGATGGCGGCTTAACAATGGCGGACAAGATTTGCAATTATGGTCCGATTTGATTCAAAATTGACAAGTGGTGGTTTTCAGA